TTGAGTCACCACTCAACCAGGCGAAGGACGTCTGGAAGGTGAAGACAGTCTGCAGCTTGGTAATCAAGGCTGAAAAGCCGAGAAAATCGAGCAAAGCAGCCCAGTGCCACCGCTGCCAGCGATTTCATCACGCACAGAGGAACTGCACGGCAGAACACCGTTGCGTCAAGTGTGGCGAAGCCCACGAGACCAAGGTGTGCACTAAGGAGCGCGCAGCGTCCCCCAAGTGTGCCAACTGTAGTGGCCCCCACACGGACAACTACATGGGCTGCCCAAAGTTCCCGAAGGTGCAGGCTCAACGGACCAAGGTCGCCGCCCCCAAGGCAATCCTCACCGCCACCAAAGGCACCGGAGCCACCAAGAAGACTGCGAAACAGCGTCAAACGGTGAACTTCGGCCTTCAGAAGAGCCAAATTGCCACCTCCGTGGCAACAGCAAAGAGCTCAAAGGAGCTGGCTGAAAAACTTTCAGCCTACATCGCCCTCCTTCTGAATAATTGATGAGTGCAAATCAACTAATTCAGCGCTCTTTTCAATGCAATGCGAATGCCAACGGCCTTCGAGCGGCCCGAGACGAGCTCGAAGAATTCGTCGACAGGTTGCAACTGGACATCGTACTTGTGTGCGAAACAAGGTTGCAACCCCCCGTCGCGGATCCAAAAATTCGGGGATTCACCCTCCACAMGGCGGACAGAGGAACCGGTCCAGGAMGAGGAACGGCAATTTTTGTAAGTAACAGAATTAAACACTCTGTTCTAGCAAAAGGCAAACCCCCACGTCCAGAACGTCCCCGTCAAGTTGGGGTATACGGGAACGAAGTCGCGGAAGATTCTCCTAGTTTCAGTGCTGCCGTTAGAAGGGCCTGGATATATGCTGGAAGAATTAAGCCAGGGACTACCTCCGAACAAATTCAAGATCATTTGGAAAGAAAATTTCCTCAACAGGTTTTTACTGTGGAACCACTACCATGTCGTGAAGAAGCCCGCAGCATTTCCTTCAAGATTGGTGCAGACTACACACTGCTTGATGATATTTACAAACCCGAAAACTGGCCGAAACAGGTTTTAATAAAGAAATTTACATTTTTTAGAAAAAAAAAAAACAGTCCGGACAATTTTAAACAAATAAATAAGAAAGTGAAAAACCCAATACGACAATGTTTAAGTTTAAGTATCCTATGCCAAAATATTCAGTGCTTATCTAATAAGACAGCTAAGCTAGATTTCTTTTTTTTTTTTCTTAATGAGGTAGATGTAGATGTTTTATTGTTTTCTGAGCATTGGCAGTGTGCTGATGATATTAATAGAATTGCGTTAAACGGATATCGGCACTGTTCATCTGTGTGTCGTCCTAGAGGGAAACATGGGGGTGTAACCATTTTTTTAAAATCAAATATCAATAATTATAAGTGTCTGAATGCGATTAACAATTTATCAGTTTTAAATGTATTTGAATGTTGTGGTGTCGAAGTAGACAATCTAATAATTGTATCAGTGTATCGGCCTCCTTCTAGTACCATAGAGGAGACAAAAACTTTGCTAGAAATTTTCGATAAGATGTGTGAATATCTGTCACAAGTAGCAAAGAGAGTAGTGATAGGTGGTGATTATAATATTAATTTTAATTCTAATTCGAATATCAGTCGTGATTTTGTAGATATATTACAAGTTTATAACTTAAATTTAACTTTCCGCGACGCAACTCGTGGCGATAAGAGCATAGATAATATCATTACTAATAACTATGTTCAGGTATTAGATACAAACGTTGTTGATAACTATATGTCCGATCATCAGGCCTTAATGATGACCATAACATCATTAAAATCCAATAAATTTAATAATCGCGTTCTTTCATATAAAAGAAATTTTAGCGAAAAAAATATTAATATGTTTTATAATACTTTAGCTACACTTACATGGAATGATGTCTTGTTGACAAATGATTGTAATTTGGCTTTCAATTGATTCTTGGACTGCCTTTCAATGGTTTTTGATCAAAGTTTCCCTAAACGAGCTTTGCGAAAAGACAATACGACAAAGAACAATAACTGACACCTTATGTGATTAAATTAAAAAATGCGGTTTCTCTTTATGTAGATTTTACCCAGAATTTAAAGAAAGATTTACACAAATTAATAAAGAATTTCAAAGAGCCCTAACAAATTAAAAAAAATCAACTAATGACAACTTTATACTCAATTCAAGTAACAAAAATAAAGCATTATGGACAATTATCAATTATCAATACTGGTAGGAAAATGGATAATAAACACGAATTTAAAATTAAAGATAAAAACAATAAACTACTTAGTCAAATCGAAACAGCTAACGCTTTAAACGATTTTTTTTTGTTGAAGCGCCGTTAAACGCGACTTCTCATATTTCAGAAAAAAATGATTATGAATTTGTAAACAAGGCATGCACATCGAATATTAGTAAATCCTTTTTTTTATTAGGTGTAACTGAGAATGATGTTATTCTAACAATCAATAGCTTGAGTAACTCAAGGGCTTCGGGTATAGATGAAATTTCTAATATCTTACTAAAAAGAATTGCATTAACAATAGTAACTCCGTTAACTCACATAATAAATTTATCTTTACAGTCGGGCATTTTTCCTAATAAGCTCAAAACTGTTAACGTTATTCCTTTGCATAAAAAAGGTTCTAAAACTGACATATCCAATTATAGAGCGATAAGTTTGTGTTCCAGTATTTCTAAAACAATAGAATTAGTAGTAAATAAGCAATTAATGTCTTTTCTATCTTCTAATAATTTAATATCACACTGCCAACATGGCTTCATAAAAAGTAAAAGTATAGATACGGCCCTTTTTCAATTTTTAACAGCTATTGTTTCAGCCATAGACAAAAAAGAAACCGCAATTGGTTTATTTATTGACTTTGCAAAAGCGTTTGACTGCATAAACCACGACATCTTATTGTTTAAAATGAAGAAGTATGGTATTAGAGGAGTTGCTCTTAATTGGTTCCAAAGTTTTTTGGAGAATAGGGAACAACAGGTATCTTTAGCATCGGTATCTTCGACTAAAAAAAAGATTAAATTAGGCGTTCTACAAGGGTCGATACTGGGTCCGACATTATTTTTAATTTTAATAAATGACATGTTTAAATATATTTAACCTAGTTGTACAATAGTATCTTATGCTGATGATTCAAATTTTTTGATTACTAGCAATAATATACGAGACGCGATTACAGTTCTAACGGAGGTATATCATAAAATAAATGTCTGGGTCGAGGGTAATAAATTAGTTATTAACCATCAAAAAAGAAATTGTATGATATTTAGCTCTAAATCAAAAAATGTAAAAATTGATTGGGTATTGGATGATTCCATTATTCTTTCCTGTGTAAACGATGTAACCATGTTAGGGCTAACTATTGACGCGACTTTACGTTGGACACTACATGTTGACAATGTATATATAAAGCTCTGCAAAACGTATTATGCCCTTTCAGCGGCTTCTAAAACTTGTAGTAAGGATATAGTTAAACAACTCTATTTTGGTATGATTCATAATTTGTTACGGTATGGCATACTACACTGGGGTAATTCTTCAAGTGTCCATAAAGTATTTCGATTACAGAAGAGGGCTGTCCGAATTATTGCTCAATTAAAAAAGACAGATTCCTGTAGAGAGGCATTTAAAACACTCAATATTTTAACTTTATATAGTATTTATATACTAGGTGAATAAAAAGTATGGAACCAAACGTTTTTTGCTTAAACTATTTATTTTTTGAAAAAACTAATTGATGAGTGATAAAGTACTATAAAAATGTGATGATTTAACAAGAATAAAATTTTTCGAGTTCTACAAAAAAAAAATATTTTTTTAAATGGCAACCCACTATAAAATCATTTTTTTCATAAAAGCTATACTCTAAGGATTCCAACTATCTGCTTTATATTTAATTTTTTCAAAATGATTTTTTCACATACATTGCAATTTTGACAAAAAAAATCGCATAACTCAAAAACAAAACAAAATTTTGCTCTGAAAATACGATCACATTTTTTATATCACTCTAATTTATATTAATTGTTATTTTCTGGAGGCAAATGATTAAAAATAAAACCGCTTGGTTCCATACTTTATATTCACCCTGTATATGAAGCAGTGTGCTTCGTTTTCAAAAATAAAGTCAAATTTAAGGATTCTAGTGATAACCACGCTTATAACACCAGATGTAAAGAACATTTGATTCCAAATAAACATAGAACTGCATTATTTCAGAAAAGTATAAATTATAACTGTTGCAATTTTTTTAATAAATTATCAGAGGAAATCCAATGTTCGGCAAATGTTTATGTATTTTATTATTATATGTATTATTATATTATATTATTATTACCGATTACAATAATTAATTAATTAAATGTCAAAGTAACATTTTTGTCAAAAAAATAAAACCACCATTGCGATGGGACTTAAAATAATGACCTTTTAAAATTACAAATTAGCTCATTTCAATATAATACACCGTATAACACACTTTACACACGTTTAATTATAATAATTATTAGTAAAATAATATCCTATGACAAGATTTACTTAAAAGAAATGTTGAGGCTAAATGCAAAAGCATTTTTATTACTTTTTCCTCGCAGATGGTTTATGACCGCGGTTAGGTAGGAGGACCCAAATAATGAGGGTCGATTTATGGACACGACATTTTCTACTTTTCTGAGTGTAAATGGTTATGATGAGAAAAAAATAAACGCATAAATAAAAATCCTGTTATTAGATATAACAATAAAGAACGAGCAAAAAGACGTTTAGCAAACACTTTTTTTCTTCAGTCCAGTTCGTTTTTTTAATTTGTTACAATATAAATATATCAATCATATTAGACAATCTAATTCTATCAGCAACTTCAAATTTTGGTTTTTGATTTGTTAGTATAGCCATGTATACGGTTTCTAATAATTGCCTTTCGTTTTCTTTACTTACATCTTTTGGTTTCATTTTAATAGTAGTATGATAAGAAATGTTATAAGATTTTATAATGTTTGGAAGTAGCGAAAGCCATTCAAAACTGTCATATAATATATTATATACATACTGTCCCAACGGTCCGAAAAAGCTCTATAACTTGTTTACTTTAAGAGATATTGACTTTTTTTTTTCAGATTATAGCTGCGTTTTTGATGCACATTTTAAAAATATTGCGGTTTATATACAGGGATGTCCCAATATTAAAAAAACACTAAAGTTATGTTTCTTTAAATGGAATCTACTCAGTTTGATTTTATTTTTGGATTCTACGCTAAATTACAAATAACTTTTATAGAGGTTGTTTTCATTTATCTGTTATCAATTTTGATTTGTGGCGCTTTTTTATCAGAATTTTTGAAATGCAGGGGTCTGTCTAAAAATTCGTAACTTCTAAATGCTTGCACACAACTGAAATTAAGTAACGCCGTTTGATTCCTGAAGGTTTGCCGCATCTTTTAAGTGTTTACTCAACAACCTGCTCAGTGGAATGTGCCTACTGCGATTTTTTAAACATCACAAATTAAAAATGTCAAAAACTCATTTTTTTCAAATGGCACCCTGT